TGGGGAGGGGGGGGGGGGGGGGTGGGATGCCAGTGTGATATAACATGTATTCCATACGGGACTTCTACTGTAAATAAGCTATGGACTGCATTATGACTAACGTAATTACATTAATTAATTATTAATTATAATATCGGTATAAGGTACTAACAAACAACAAGAAAAAATAGGCGACGATCTCATTGTGATTTTTATTAGTGTGCGATACGTGTTTTGGGCGCTCCGATTAATTGTGTAAACACGAGTACAGTTGCATCGAATGTCTCGAGACATCCGTTCTTTCGTTGCGTTCTTTACGTGGCAGCATAGCATCTTCTTTTTAATTCTCGCGTCCCTAAACAATGGCAAGATCCATCCTCGAGACTTTTTCCTTACCGACGCAACTGTACTTTGACAACGGATTGAGGAAACTAAAATTACGAAAGAAGAGAAGAACTGCATTAACGCACCTTGGGACATTATCACGCGAACAAAGTTTGTGGCTGAATTTTTCGGGGAGAAATTTTGCTGCATGTTCTTCCGTGGATCAATGCCCTTGCTTTAGTTAGGTATTACCAACCTTATAACCCAGCCACCTACCTACCCTGTTTTCCTTAATGGTCCTTCACCTATCTTGACTGACCAGCCCCCCCCCCTCCCCTCTTCATCCAGCTTAGTCACAGCTGGATTCATTCACTGCCAATTTATCCATTATTGTATCTATTATTATCAATATTATTATTATTATTATTATTATATACAGAGAGCTTGCTAAGGAATAAAGGGATCGCGTTGTTACATTTTGTTAATTGACAATTAAGTATTCGATGATTACTATTGAATTTACGTATAATACAATTATTATGATTGTTATGTTGACTTCTGAGATCTCCGAGCCTCACGACCTCGGCGTAAACGTTAAATTAACTGCCAGTGACATAGCTAAATCTATGCGCGTGAAAATTTAGCGAATTACGTTGTTCTTTTAATTATGAAATCTCTTCCGTTTGTCTTTTTTTTGGGTCAATCGTTTTTGAACAATTCGTGCAATCTACGTGACCTTGAAGTGTCTTGTTATGTTGGCGATGCGTTTTAATTTTTTTTTTTTTTTTTGTTAACGTTATCGCGTAATTAATTTTTTTTAAATTCCCGACAATCGTACAGTCGTTTTAGTGAATCGTCTTACCTGGTTTTTGATATTGCAGTTGAATGACTTTTTTTTTTATTTTCAAAAATGCAATGTTACGTTCGTCGATGTCCCGTTATAAAGCATAGGCCTAATTCGATGTAACGCTTGTTCCGTAATCGTTTATGGAACGACCTCTTTCAATTGTCGTGAGTACTCGCGTCACGCCACGTAGAGATATTGGCAGGATAATCGAAATGGTAAAATTCGAAAATCGCCAGAGCGAGGATTTCACGAGAAACCTGTAGCGTCCGTCGGGATAGGAGAATTTTTTTTTAAAGCTCTTTCCAAACTGCCGTAGCTCTTTGCTTAGCATTAGGATCGGCTGACCTTTTTTTTTGTCAAGGTACCCAAGGAGCGAGCGACGAAGTATATGAAAATTTGACGTTGTCTACTTTGGCCGCTCGTGCATTTAAATCAGTAGGTGGAGTCGAGGCGCGCTGATGTCGAGAATTGCCCTCTATGATTCTTGCTTAAAAGTTGCGTCTCATTATAGTTGGTAGCCCTTCGTACTGGCTTAAGCCGAATTACTTTCTTCGGTAACTTCTTGGACGTTCTCGAGGGCTGAATGCGCCTGTATAATCGGAAGATTACGTCGTCCGTGAAAGTTTGAAATGGGCGCCTGATTTTATGAAAAATCGTGCGACTGCGGGATATTAGCGAAAATCTATTATCGAATAACGTTACCTTGTCAGCCAATTGATTTTAGAATCGATCTAGACGGGACTTAAGGATACAACAAATCATATTGTGCCTAGACGTGTGGTTTACATTGGATTACGTGTTAAGTGTAAAAAGGTACGAGATTGCCGTGTATAACGTGTATAGGTTTTAAATGAGAAATCCTGGACTTTGGCTACATTAGTTATGAATTATTATTAATAATTAATATACCATCTTACGGCGCAGTGGGAACGATGGAATAAAAATACATTTTATATTATCTGAATGCATAATTTTTTTCTACCTAAACTTTAATGTTTATATTGGACGATTGTACGTTTCGTAGAAACCGGGAGGTTAGCTATCGTTGGTCAGTAAATGAAACAGGCTCAAAAGCGACCGATAGATTGACAATCAGTTGGCTTCGCGTTATATTTGAATTTATTGAACAAGTTCATGCAAATTTTCTGCGCATTTATGAAGCTCATATTTCTGCTTAGTCAACGTTGCTAGTCAGTTAAAAAAGTCAATTAACACTTTATACTGGTGGCCTTGCTGTTGTAAAATTATATATTGGGAATTCGATAGCTGCAAATTTAATGCGTCACCAATGTTTTACAGCGTTTCTG